AGGGTTTGTCCTCCTTGGAGCTGTCACAGTCCCTTCCCTTTGTGCTCTGCCCCACACAGAGCTGCAGCAGTTTGGTTTCCTGTTTTGTGAAAGGTTTCATTATATAAATAAAACTTAAAGTCTTTATTTAAATTTGTTTTCCTGGTTTGTTCTGTGGAGGTTTTGGAATATTCCAGAGAAAGGGAAAACTGGAAGCACTGCTTTAACTTTCACTTTCCAGGTCTCAGAGGAAAGGGAACAGCACTTAGTTCCATTCCTACTTCCACAACAGAGCAGGAGCTGAGCAGCAGATGGATTGGAACAGGCTGGTGGGAATCCTTCCCTGGGAAAGGCTTGGAATTCCATGTAACATCAAGGGATAGGTCATTAGACACAGCTCTTACAGCTCCAGCTCTCCAGAGCAGCCATGAGGTTCCAGTTGGACCAGCAGGATGACCTGGACCTCAGCTCTGTGGTGTCTCTGTGCCAAATCCCAACCTAGGGGGTAAGGAGTATCCCAAAGGATTCCCAGAGCTCTGGGGAGAGGATGGATGTGGAGGAGAGTGAGGTGTCAGCGTCCCAATGTGCAGGGTGAGAAGTCCAAGAGGTTTGGGTGAAGGAGGACAATTTTTGGTGTCCTCTATGGATCTGAAGGTGAGGCAGAGGGAGCAAATTGGATGCTCAGACTTGCCCTGCAGGGAATTTAACCCATATCCTGTCCCTGCTCCCAGCAAAGAGCCAGGCCCAGTGCTGGAGCAGGGACAGGACTGGGTGATGCTCCTGCCTGGGCAGGGATCGAGGCTGAACCATGGAGCTGTGGTGATGTGCCAGGACAGGCCTTGCCCTTAGCTCCTGCTACTCCCAGAGCCCTCAGCATGTCCTGCCACGCTGTGTCCTCCTCAGTCAAAGTTGTAGTAAAGGCAGAAGGCAAAGAACATGGCAAAGATCTGGAATGACAGAGGGGGAGAGTGTCAGCCCCAGGGCTGTGCTGGGCCTGGGAGTGGAGACCCTAAAAGGATCCCTGTCCTAGGCTCCCTGGGGGCATCACTGTGCCCTGCTGGGCCCGGGAGTGAAGACCCTAAAAGGATCCCTGTCTTAGGCTCCCTGGGGGCATCACTGTGCCCACCCAGGGGTCTGTGCCAGCTGTCCTGGGGCTGCTCAGGGACACCAGGACAAGGAGGAGACCCTGGGGGCTGCCACCCCCGGGAGTGAAGACCCTAAAAGGATCCCTGTCTTAGGCTCCCTGGGGGCATCACTGTGCCCACCCAGGGGTCTGTGCCAGCTGTCCTGGGGCTGCTCAGGGACACCAGGACAAGGAGGAGACCCTGGGGGCTGCCACCCCAGGGCCTGGGGGGCAAACTAACCCACCCCAGCCCCATCTGCAGCAGAGACTGGCTCTGTACCACACCTGAGCCCCCGTGTGCTTCCCTCTGAGCACCCTCCTGGCACAAACCCACCCGAGGGGACCCTCTGCCTGCCTGTCCCTGTCCCAGTACCTCGATGCCCAGCACGGCCAAGCTGCAGGTCCCAGGGACAGTGATGTATCTCTGCAGGGTCCTGCCGAAGGTGGAGAAGCAGCCCTGGGGGCAGGGAGAGACTGGAGAGGCTCTGGGGGGCACCAGGGTGAGGGACAGGACACACTGGGGGGCTCAGGGGGGGCACTGGGCTCTGCCCCTAGCTGCTGTGCACAGTGCTCTGCCCCATGGGCGAAGGGTGGGGATGGGACAGGGATAGGGGCAGGAAGAAGGACAGGAATAGGGGTAGGGACAGGGATAGGGACAGGAATAGGGCCAGGGCCAGGAATATGGGCAGGGGCAGTGAAAAGGACAGGAATAGGGGCAGGGATTGGGACAGGATTAGGGGCAGGAATAGAGATTGGGGCAGGAACAAGAACAGGGACAGGAATAGGGGCAGGAACAAGGGCAGGGATAGGAAAAGGGACAGGGATAGGGACAGGAATAGGGGCAGGAACAAGGATAGGGACAGGGGCAGGGATAGGAATAGGGACAGGAACAGGGGCAGGGACAGCGATAGGGACAGGAATAGGAACAGGGACAGGAATAGGGGCAGTGGCAGAGACAGGAACAGGGACAGGGATAGGTACGGAGGCAGGGGCAGGGCAGGGTCGTGCCCTACCTGCTCATGGATGTACCCAGGGCTCCTGTCCCGGCACTCTTCCCAGCCCAGCAGCTCTCCCGCCTGCAGGAGCCCATCGCGGGCACAGCACGCCTGCGGCCACGGCGTGCCCGGGTGCAGCTCCTGGAACTGAGAGCCATTCCCAAAGTCTTCGGGTCCTAAAACGCCACAGCACGAGAACTGGAACGGGAGGGACATACCATCAACACGCTATCAAAGTGTGGGGGGAGGATGTCACCTGGGGAGGTGACAGGGATGGGGAACAGCTCCGTGTCTGTCTGACGTCCTTGAGCCCCTTTGGGGTCACCGTTGGCACGTCCTGTGGGCGCTGCACAACCCCCCCAGGAGCCTCCTGGCTGCTCACTGTGATCATCAGGGTGTTCCAGGCGGTGGAGAAGACCTCAGCAGCCTCATCCCCGCGGTAGTTGCTGCGCAGCTCGTTCAGGAAACGCTCGGGCTGGACCTGCGGGAGCGGCGCTGGCTCTGAGCGCAGGGGACAGGGACAGTGTCCCCCACCCACCCTGCCCAGCGCCAGCTCCTTTCGAGGGGAGGTGAGCACCGACCCATGGGACCCCTCCCCACCCGGTTCTAGGTGCTGGAATGAAGGTGAGGATGAGAAAGGACATCCCTGCACCAGTCCCAGTGCCCTGGGGGACTCAGCGTGTGACAGCGGGAGGAGAGGGGCTGGGGACACCTGGGACAGTGCCAGGGCACAGGGACAGTACCTGTTTCCAGTGCACCAGGAAGAGAATAGCCCCCACGAGCTGCGTGAGGAAGACAATGCTGACGAGGATGAAGAACTGGAAGGCAGTGTGTGAAGGAGTCAGAGACCAAACTGCCCCCAGGGACAGTTCATCCCAGCTATCCCTGCCCTCCTCTGCCCAGCCCAGCCCTGCCCTGTGCTCCCAAGACCAGGGGGACACAGGGGACATGTACAGCTCCTGGGGACAGTGACACAGCTCTGAGCACTGTGGCTGCAAGGCAGGGGGGAAAACAGCACTGGCTGCAGGGGGTGCTGAGGACATTGGGGTCAGTGCTCAGGATGGGGTTTCTGCCTCTCACCATGGGGAGGAAAGCTTGGAAATGCCACGTGGGACGAGCCAGTGGCTTTAGAAAGAAGTGCCCCCACTTGGTGGCTTTTATAGACACTCTGGGTCTAAATGGAGACTCACAAGGTGGGGAGTGGATTGGGGGTGCAGTGAGGATTGTGAACAACAGCTCCTGGCTCCTCTGGGGACACCCCAACACCCTCCATCCCTTGATTCCTGCATCCCACGAGCTCCTGCATCCCACAGCTGCCTTCCTGCCCGTGTCCTTCCCCTCCCTCCTTCCCTCTCCTTTCCTTCTTCCCTCTCCTTTCCTCCTTTCTCTCCCTCCCTCCTTCATTCCTTCCCACTTTACCTCCCTCCTCCCTCTTTCCCACTTTCTCTCCCTCCCTTTTTCCCACTTTCTCTCCTTCCCTCCTTTATTCCTTCCCACTTTTCCTCCCTCCCTCCCTCCCTCCCTC